GGGGAACACCTAAGCTACTGTGCCGCAATACATAGAAAAAAGGAGAAAAATAGCAACTGGTGCAAGCTGGCTGAGCTACCGGTAACGGATGAGCATCGTTCCGGTAAGCTACCAGCCAGCTACTATGCATCAAAGAAATTATTATGCAAAATTATATAAGGCTAAATAATGAGATCGTGGTTGGAGGGAGAGGCTAAGAGGGATGGGGTGGGACAAAGATACTCACAACACGAACGCCACTGAGGTGGGCCCCTAGCCATATCAGCAAGTGTGTCCAACCAAACGTGTTCATCGTCTTTCGCACCCCAACCAGGGAGCCGAGACGCTCCAACCGAGGCCAGCTCTGAAGTGAGGGCCTTCATACCTCGCGACCAAGTCATCGCTTGGCCACCCCTCCTCTTCTTCCATCCACAACCCCGGCGCGCAAACAACGCACGTCGCGGAAGTCGTTGGGCTGGCATGCGTAACACGTGGCCGAGCCATCGGAGCCTGATGCGTGAAATAACGGTGCTGAGCGGTTCAGTTCCTTTTCCTGTGCCATAAACAAGGCGTCGAACACGCTCGTTGCTCACGCGGTGTTCCCACTAAATGTGAGCTAAATTACGAAGGCACCGGTGGTCGAACGTAACTAGCCTCTTCAGGTCCGCTGCTTTAAGCGGCCAGGTTTCGCAACCGTATAGTAGAGTCGAACATACCGCTGCATTGTTCACTCTACCCTTCAGGTCAAGAGTGATGTCGCGCCGGCGCCATAAGTGGCGAAGGTTAGCAAAAGCGCCCCGAGCTTTTGCTATACGATTCGTGATTTCATCTTCAATCCCACTTGCGCTGATACAAATTCCCAGGTAGTTGAATTTTTGAACGACTTCTAGCTGATCCCCACCAAGGGTCAGCGTAGGAGGCGGTCCAGACCAATCTTGGAGAAACGCTTTGCACTTCGAGGGTGCGAAGCAAAGCCCGAAGTGACGGACAGCTAGTGCTAATCTGTCCAGTGCCGCTTGGCACATTTGTGAGCTGTCACAGATCAGGGCAATATCATCAGCATACTCTAAATCAAGAAGTCGTTCTCCTGGGAGTAGCTCCACACCTTCTAAGTTGTGTCCTGTAAACGCGATTTCCATGACTTCGTCAACAGCGAAATTGAAGAGGAAAGATGACAGCGGGCATCCTTGTCTCACGCCGCTGGAGATATTAAATGGCGACGACCACTTTCCGTAAGCCCTCATTCTGCCCCAGCTACGCGTGTATAATGCTCGGATAATATTCACATATTTCTCGGGCACACCTTTCCTGAGTAGACAGTCCCAAAGTGCATGTCTATCCACCGAATCGAATGCACCTTTGATATCGAGAAACACGACAACGGTGGGCCGCCAATATATGTGACGGTGCTCCAACAACTGACGCAAGGTGAAGATGTGGTCAATGCAGCTACGACCTCGACGAAATCCAGCTTGCTCTTCACGAATATGGCTTTCACGAGTGCCAGTCAGTCTGTGAAGGATGATACAGGCAAGCAATTTGGAGGCGATGGAGATCAGATTGATTCCTCTATGGCTGCCGCATTCCGATCGTGAGCCTCCTTTGAAAATTGGGACTTTGATGGAGCGGCTCCAATCGGTTGGGACAGTTTCCTGCTCCCACAGTCTCACTAGTAACTCGTGTAAATCATCCACAAGAGCAGGTCCCCCGAATTTGAAGAGGGCTGGAGGAAGGTCATCAGGTCCGGCGGCTTTATTTAACTTCAACAGTTTGACCTCATGTTCGACTTCTGAGCGAGAGCGTGCATCCAAAGGAACAGCCCACGGAGCAGGGCGATCACTGGTCGGCGAGAAATCTAACAATTCCGACCGATTAAATTGCCTTTCAAAGTGCTCTGCCCAACGTTCCAGGCGTTTTGATAAGTTGTGGATAGGCTGTCCACTCTCGTCACGTATAGTTTCACTAACACCAGGTCCCCTGCTACCCGTTTCCCGTATCAGACGGAATGACTCACGATGGTTACCAAGGGCAGCGGCCATTTCCATCTCTGTTGCACGACGAGACCATCAGGATTCGCGGTCTCTTTTCAGGCTAGCACGGAGTTTTGCCCGGAGCTCTTTGCGAGTTTCATTGTGTTCGCTTCCAGCCGGAATATGCCGGCGAGCATCTATAAGTTCCAGAGACTGTGAAGAGACCCAATGTTCATGTTGGCGATTAGACATACCACACGAGGATTTGCCTGCTGCAAGTAAAGACTGTTGCATATGAGACCAGTGAGCTTCAATTGCATCCAGTGAGCGTTTATCCAACTCGGATGACAGCGTAATTTGATAGGCGTTCAGAACAGCTCGCTTCACCAGTCTGCCGATGCTAATGCGCTCACAACATCGTCGCAGGCGTCCGCCAAAGCGCATCCGCATGTCAGCACATACAAGTGCATGATCGGTGTCAACACCTGTGCTCCAAATCGAGCGACAGTTCTGGACGCAGCCTCTCCAGCGGTAACTGATAGAAATGTGATCGATCTGCGTCCATAGCTGATTCGAGACTGGTGGGCGCCAAGTCACCCTCCGGCGGGTGTTGTGTCGGAAATTAGTGCTCGCAAGAAATAAGCTAGCATCCTCACACAAATGAAGTAACCGCTCACCGTTATCATTACGGGAGCCTATACCATGTTGGCCGCCCAGATGCAGCTCATCTGCGGATAAGTTTCCAACTTGAGCGTTCAGATCCCCAGCCAGCACTACAGTGTCCGAGCTTCTTCTGTGGCGAAGGAGCTCGTTCAGTTGGCGATAGAAGTCGTCTTTTACCGAGTCATCGCTAAAGTTTGTCGGTGCATAGGCAGCGATAACGAATAGACATCTATTAGTCCCGCGCGACTTCGAAGTTTTGAACGAGCCAGCCAATCGGACCGCACACATCCGGCTACTGATTGGAATCCAATCAACCAGAGTAGCTTCAGCCCGGGGACTCAGGGCAATACGAACACCGGCTTGGCCGGTGCTCGAAGCTGCATCGTCAACGGATAGGCGCAATGAGAAAGTGCTGCTAGTGTCAACTGAAGGGGATCGCAGAATGAGTAAAGAGCTCGAGTCTTGCAGGCGGGTCTCCGATAAGCAGCAAATATCCATCGAGAGGGTCTCTAATGTTCGGGCAAGTGCTGCCTGTTGATCGATTTGAAGCAATATGCGAACATTGAGACATGCCAGTCTGAAGGAGGATCGAGGGCCCGAAATGCAAACGGATGAACTGGAATAGACCGCTTGCTTGGACATGGGCCTGTTGACAGTGCAGGAATGACGCTCTGCGTTCATCTGTGAGTTGAAACTAAAAGACAAACGACTATGGAACCAAGGTGGGGGAGGGCCGAGAATTGGGGGGTTGAAAACTGAGGGATAAAAGTGAAGCTGGAACGGGACGATAAGGGTGACAAAGCGCAATAGGGGGAATAAGAAGATGGGAAGGCTTGAGCAGTAGCATCCAAACCCCTATCCACCCTGCTCGATGCAGCAGATAGGGCACCGTTGATTATCCTCTGTGGTGGCCAGAGCATCAGAAATTTGTTTGGAGGAAGATTCATTGTATTGCGTGGGCAGGATACTGTCAGGTTGCCCAGGCCTAGACAGGAGAACGATTAGGGTTCTCAACCAAAGACTTTGGTTCAAGAATCTGGCCGCAAGGCAGCGGGTTCGGCACTGGACTACGTGGAGTCAGTCTTAAGGAATAAGGATCCGCCCTCATTCCAACCCCCAACCTGGAGGGCCAGGAGGCTGAGTTTGTCTGGCCTCTAACCATTGACCAATCTGGTATGAGTGGGTCTGAAGGTGCAAAAAAGCACCACCCAGTATAGCTCAATGGATCACAGAGGCACACAAACCATCGCACCACGGTAAGGTCCAGTCTCTGCGATGGTAGAACAAACCAAATAAAGTGGGATGAAATTTATCCAGCTTAAAAAAACCTAGTTTAAGTGTAAGTTGGTTTAGCCCAACTGCGGTGAAGAAACATCAAGAATGCAGCATCAGCCTCAGCATGGGGCATGCATATATATATATATATATATATATATATATATATATATATATATATATATATATATATATATATATATATACATAAAGAGCCTATTCTAACCACCATACTGTGACTAAAAGCACTGAAATCGCATAGTGGAAGGAATCACCATCTGTGGAGTGACATCTTCACTTAGCAGATTTTGAAACTCTCGGTGCACATTTGAAACCTTCGGAAGCTAAGCCATAACGCCACACCAAGGAGCCAGAAGCTGAAGGGCAATACATTCGATTAAAATGTTATGGGAATATTTGCTGCCTGAATCTGTCAGATGTGAAACTCCAATCTGAATAGGGTGAGTTCCGACCTCACGGTATTCATTTTTGAAGTGACTGGAAAGTACCTTAAACCATTTGCGTTACGCTTTACGCTCATCTGGTGACGACAAAACCGAAACACCGAGTGCACCAGACCCATGAAATGACGTTCGGCAGATCTACAGTTGTTAATGTGAAAACTACAGTAGGTCTAGGAATGTACGGTTTCCCTGGTTGGCATAGGTTTTCCCTGAAACTTGTATCTTTCACACAAGCCACCCTAAGGTACTTGTCAAGCTTTTGTAATTTTACCCGTGTTATGCATTCGTTCATTTGTATGTTACTGAGCAACCAAAGTATCGTAAAAGTTAGGTCGTGTTGCGTTCAAACGCAAGGAGTTATTTTGTGGTGTAAGAAGCTCTTACAGAGGTCAAGGATAACATGGCCCGGCTGCATTAGTGTTACCAGGCCTAAATTGCATTTCACAGAGCACAACAGTACCGCTAACTCGAGAGATGTTGACTTGATACATGGAAATGTAGCCGGCGCCTTGAGACAAAGGCACAAAACTGTTGACCGCCCAACTAACAGCTCCCGTGGGTCGTGTTCAAGAGCATGAACAACATCATTCGCTTCACAACTTTAACCTGCCTTAGTAATCTAGTTTGTATAATGTGGGTCATCGGGAACGGCGCACCTAATCGAAAGAATATTAGACCTGAACAGTATCGTTGTAGACAGATGGGTTTGTATGGATACTGATTTCGAACAAGAGCTAGGGATAAATATAGAAAGAGAAAATATAGCAGTTTAGGTAAAATACTACCACGTATAACGGAAAATGCACAGGACTGACCAATTGAAACGCTTAAAAATCCATAAGTATATTATACAAAAAATTAGCGAATGTATGAAAAGAGTTTGGAACCAAGAAGGGGAAAAAATAGACAATGCAGTGAAAATAAGCGCTTGATCAGAGGGATTCATCATTATTCTATCCATTCTGCAAAAACCAATGAGCCGTTAGTGCCACCAAATCCGAAAGAATTGCTCAGAACGACACGACATTCATGTGAAACCGTCCGATCAGTGTATGGAATCGCTAATGTTCCATGTCTAGGTAGAACAACTTGACGCTCAAGTGCGTCCAGGTATTTGTTGAGATTCGTCCTCTCCGGTGTACCAGCGTGACGTTCATTGCACGTTAGGACTTTTTCAACCTCTGTGGATCCAATCGGCTGGTGCAGATTTAGGTTTCCCGCCATCATTCCGCGGTTTACAGACAGAACAGAGTACACGGACTCTACCGCACCAGCACCACCAAGAAGGTGACCAAGATGACCTTTGATTGAATTCACCACGATAGGGGGACGCGTGTCAGCTCTGTGTTGCTCCGAAAAATCCACCATAAGGCGCGAAACAGCTGCCAGTTCGATAGCGTCACCTAGGGGTGTTGACGTTGCGTGGCAATTGATGTGATCGACCTGGGCAAGGTAAGCATGCAAGGGGGTTGAAGGACACCAAAAGCAAAGCAAAGCAAATTGCGTTAACCACCAACGTATCACATGCAGTTATCCCAACGGAAGAGCCGTAGCTAGGGTCTCCGAATGGGTGTGTCCATGTGGGCGACTCAAAACATTTCTGCCGCAATAAAGTGAAATAGAGCTAACAGGATATACATAATTCGATTGGGTAGTCCATTTTGAAGCACCTGTTGTGCGTATGGATTGCGACGCACAACCTTAATGTGGACCGGGATTCCCACTGAAGTGAACATTGGCCAACCCGATCACCGTGACCGCAGCCGAAGCAGAGAGATATTGAGTACCCCCACCCCCGGAAACACTGCACGCAACTACCGGTATCGAACTTAGTTGCTCTCATCAGGTAGAGATAATAGGCATTGAACCCGGAACCACTTAGGTGTTAGCCGAGTCTTCTTCTTCTCCTGGCGAAGGGCAAATGGACCACACACTTGGCACAAATTCTGAGGTCACTAGGCTCCAGAGTGGGTTCAATCCGAAGTAAACTAATTGGCATCTTCCTAATGTTGATAGATTCGCAGTATGGTCTTTAAATAGTGGTATATGATATCGGGTTAGCAAACAATAGACCCAATGAATACGGCCCAAAGGAATTAGCCCAGAACTAAATTAGTTAAGCTGTTAGTATTGAAGAAAATATATGTCCAATGTGATACTTTCCCATATACAGCCAATCGCCCAGATGAGCATGTGATTTTACAATCGTGATTCGAAGCTGTTGGTATACAATTTAGAATCCGTGGTAATAGTAGTCTTCCAAAGCGAAACGGTGCATTAGGCAGAAATGTAGGCAACAGGCAGCCATGCTTGGGTAGCAGTCTAAGTGTGCAGCCAAAAACCGCGAATAACTACCATTCTTCCAGTCGCCATCCCGCGACAGCAAAGCGGCAGATGAAGTGCCATTAGCGATGTTTCTCAAGCGTCATTTGTGTATCAGACATTTGCTGATGACGTTACTACTGTTCATTTAAGAGTAGTTCGCCTGTAATTGAACATTTTGCCACACTACTAACGTCCGATCGTTAAGGTGGGCTTCAATCGGCATAGCGGAAAGGTCTGGATGCCTTGTTTGAACGTATCAGTTTTGCAATTGAAGTAACCCACAAACTTTGAAACGAAGTTGGGGAACGATTTCTGTAACTAATGCCTCACTACCGCAGCATGGTTTATTCCACCCACTACCCAAGATTCTTACAACCCAGATTGTGAGTTTAGATAGATATTATGGGTGGGACAGCCCATGGTACGCTAAGGCTTGTAGTGGCGAGAAGCTGACAGATCGTCGACCCGATACTACTAATGTTCTGCTGCGTGATCATGCCCCGGACACATCCTCGTGGTGACCTCTAGGTGGTAGTTGGGTTGCACCATTCTTCTAGCTAAGATCCAGGACACACAACTCCGCGTGAGTTGGTTCACTGACTCATGGTGCTAGTCCGCTTCCTTTCGGGTCTATACTTAATTGAAGGTTTTGGCTGAGGACCCGAGTCGTTCTCCTGTTAGGTGTGAACACCCTGGCAGCATCATAGTCCGACCCCCAGATATGAAGTGTGTCAATAATAACAAATCCACGCTGCATCGGTCGTGGCGCAGTAGTCTTAGGAAAAGGGGGCGAAATATCTGCTGCAAACATCGGGGTGGATAAGCGAAAACACGCTACAGCTGGCGCCTTCCTTTATTCTTCTTCCCTTGCACATGCTCTCCCTGTCTCTGTTTTAACTAAACCAGGTCGTCACCACCCATAGGGTTGTCAATGCAACTGTATGCGCAAAGCGCTCAACATCGGGTGCTGGAAGGTGCGTACACTGCTCGATCTGAATACGACTGAGCGTCCCGAGCGACACACTGCACTGGTCGCGATGGAACTGGCTCACAACAACATCGATACTGAAATATTCAGCGAGACCCGACTCGCTTAGCATGGTAAGTTGTATGACGCTGGTGCTGGCTATACGTTCTATTGGGTGGGAAAAGCCACCGCATTCCCACGTGAACATATGATGGGATTTGCGTTATCCGATCGCCTAAATGACCAGCTGGTGTGTGAGCGCACTGGCATCAACGCGCGACCGATGACTGTTCGCCTACGACTCGGAAGAGGTAAGTTTGCCACTTTCATCAACATGTACGGTCCAACCATGTGTTATCCTGATGATACGCGTGACCAATTCTACACTCAGTTATCCTCCATATTACGGTTTGGGCCGAGGAGCGACCAACTATTGCTGCCAAGTGATTTCCACATGCGCGTTGGGCGTGATGCTGCGGTGTGGACAGATGTCATCGGTCCGCATGACATTGGTTCAGCGAATGCAAACGGTGATCGGCTGCTCTCACTGTGTGCCACTCACGCCTGACGATCACGAACACTCGGTTTGCACTGATTGCGAATGACATCAACGTGAACGCACCCAAGGAGTGGTCATGCTCAGCTACTCGACTATGTCATCCTACGTTAGCGTGAGATGCGCGAAATGCGCATTGACCACAAATTGGTGCGGACGAAATGGTACATCTACGCGCAAAAAGTACGTAGGGCGTGCCTGCCGTGAACCGGGGTAAGTTTAACACTCACTCGGTACTGTGACGAAGCGCACTGAGCTGGAGAAGGCGATGGCTGCACGCCTGTGTGATGTGGAGTGCATAACCGCGGCGGGCGACCAGTGGCACCACATTCGCGACAAGGTGACAGCTGCTGCCGAAGAGACCATCGGGCGCGCACATAGAAATCGGCTTGATTGGTTTGATGAGAACAATGCGATGAATGTCGCATTGGTCCGAAAAGAACGCAACAATTGCTGCACATGAGACAGACCTCAGTGACGAGAAAGAAGAGTCAGTTTCATAAAATTCGACAGTGACTGACTCGAGAGCTCCGTCGCATTAAAATGCCTGGTGGACGGAGAAGGCGAAACAGGTGGAATGCTATGCTGCACGGCGCAAACACAGGGAATTCTTTGACTGCTTGGAGCCGCTGAGGACGCTGATCGATGGTAGTTCAGGTGCGACCTGTGCACAGACTACAGAGATAATGCAGATGTGGCGTAAACACTTTGACTTTCTCTTGAACAAGTGTGCAGATATTGAGTGGCCTACACTGAAAGGCCTGAAGCAGTACGAGGTGAAGATGGGCCTGGCGGACACACAGACACTGAATGAGACGCACAGAACTCTTGCTATGCTGCGAAACAGCAAGTATGCTGGTGCCGACAGGATCGGGCCTGAAGTATTGCAACATGACGGGCCTGCGTTGGTGGATGCGCTGCACCAATTGGTGCAACGTATGTGGATTGAGGTGAGGTACCTACCGAGTTGAAGGATGTGCTGGTTCTCCCATTGTACAAGGGAAAATGGAGCAAGCAATGTTGTACGAACTATCGTGGTATCAGCTTGCTGAGTTGTGTGGGCAAGGTGATTGCCCGAATCCTGTTCAACCGCCTCGTCAGTGAGGTTGTAGAATCGAACGTGGCAGAAGAGCAAGGTGGATTCCGTTCGCGGCGCAGCACCATAGATATGGTGGTTGCGTCTCGTCAGTTGCAGGAGAACGAGACCAGCCATTGTACTCGTTGTTTGTTGATTTCACCAAAGCATTTGATATGGTGAACCGCGAGGCATTATCCGATCACGCGACGAAGCGGTAGTGCATGTCGGTACACTCCAAATGGAACACAGACAGATGATACAAACTAAATTTTGCAGAAAATGGTTATTAACCACCGGAGTAATTGGATTCGGCATTATTCTGGTGTTTCATCCTAGAGAGTTTAACGTGCACGACTAGAGCCAAGGATTTGTGGAGCGTTAAGATTGCGTGCAGTAGATGTATTCTGTAAGCGCACTAGTGTTAACGAAATCCGTTGTAAGGGTATGAACACTGATAGAATGCAGAGGTCTACGAACGCCTGCATAAAAATGACTGGCACAAAACTGACTACGGGGCAGTTCAGTATTGTCTACGTGACAATAGATCACCTGGTTGTGAGTTTTCACTTTAGTTGCTGAGATCAGTATATGGTTAACTGACATTGTTTTTCGGATGTCCCTTTGGTGGATAGTAGGCGATAATGGATAATGTTGATGACGTTGAATGCATTATCGCAATTTTGCTCAGAAACCAGACTGCAGCGGCAAGTCACAATTTACCCAAACTGCAGCCGCTGAACAACCGATTTGCTTTCGGCAACAGCAATTACTGCGCCAGCTGAGTTCCAGAGAACACTTTCAATCGGAGCTGACAACACGGGCTAATGAAACTCACAATGAACACTTGGTTCATCCTGCATTTCTGGGATCCAAAAATTGATCCACGGATTTGAGTGACGTGGTACTGCGGCTAATCAAATTATATGACGATTTCAGATGGCAGCATATCTATTAGGCGACACTAATAACAATGTGTACACGAAAAGATTTCCCCCACGCCGCCGGTAATAGCAGGCATGCCGGTATCCAAATGTACGAACTCCAAGAAGATGCAGAGTTCGATGAAGATAATATGCTCTAACGTGCCTGAGTCAAAGGCAAACTCTATCAAAGATAGACTACTGGACGACATGAAACAGTGGGAATCCATATGCCGAGCAATTGGAATGCAGCCTAAACAGGCTAGCTTATGTCGTATCATCCGCCACCCCAACTCACTTCACTAAGGCGAGCCGAGACTACTTCAAGTGACATTGCAGTCCGGTAACGAAGCAGAGACAGTCCTCTTGTCAGCTCACCGTCTTCGTGATTCATCATGTGGAGTTCGCATATTCCCGGATATACCTTGGAGTGAGCGTCGACAACGAAAACAAAATCCTGGAGAATACCGCAAGCAAACTGATGAAAGATCCATCTTTGTCCATGGTGTCCCCGAAACACAGGCACCGGAAGAGTCGCAGGTCAAAGCTCATGACTTGGAAGAGTGGCGGTATATCCGCGAAGCACTATCTCTCCAC